AGGAGCTGCGTTATTACAAACTATTCCACGGTATAAACCTTAAATTGTCCGTAATAGCTGACTTTTATGTTGTCTTGTAGAAAATATAACATTTACCATTAATTCTCAGCCTATCCATATGTTAATGAAGATATCTACTACTATCTACTGTGCCATGTGCATGTTTTTTCTACAGGCTGTGTGAGACTATGTGAAGCTGAGGGGATTCCCCTCCTTTCTCTTACACCGTTCAGTTCAGGTAGGTTCTGGTCTGCTTCATCGGGACACTACTTACTGAAGAGCGGGGATATGCTAAGCTTGGCTCTGGATATATAGGGTGAAGACTCAGTGAAGAGTTACAGGGCAGAGCCAAATTATTGGCACTGCAGTCATAGCTTCCATCCATCTTTGCCAGTTACGCACTTGTTCAGATAACATCTCCTCCTCCCATTCAAAATAAATAAACACTTACTTATCATCTATCAAAACCACATCAGGTACAAAGTAAGACATGCTTCTTTGTGGCAACATGTCCACTGCAAACCTTAGTAAACCCCTTTTTGTGTGTGCTTCATTTACAAATCCTCCTTCTGAAAACCAGCTGTAATTATACCAGTTTCCACACCTTTCATTCACTAAACTGACACTGACTAACACTTAAAATGGTTTTGTGTGTTTATATTTGTTATTTGTGCATTGTCTTGTGTAACTATTTTCTAACTGACAAGGTCAGGCCAGGTTCTTTCATACAGTATCAACCTACTGTAGAGGCAGGTATGGCAGTAATAAGTACAAGTACTGAACCTAATATGCAGGTTTGAACTTGTGTGCACTTTGCTCCATTTTCAAACACAATATTGTAACTGGCACTTTACAATAGGCAATACTCACGTCAGTTTTTTAAGTCGCTTCTTGCCCCCTGGCAGCTGGGATAGGTTCCAGCCCACCAGCAACCCTGTATATAAGCAGAAGAAAATAGATGCATGTATGTTTTAAATTAGGTTATGATCTAAGATTTCTTTTTTCTTTTTTTTTTGTAATGGTTTAACCACCAGCTTATGGTTTATGCTCAAGCACTATAATGAAATAATATTTTTAATACTTAAATATTATTGCTGTTTTTATAATGACTTTTCAAATTGACGTTTTTTTGTACAAAAAAACAAACAAAAGAATAGTAAAACTAGAATCCAAATGCCAAATTAGTTATTTACTAAAATTGAAAGACAAAAACTAGTTTTCGAGGTTTACTCTTGATTAAGTTCCGGCTTCTCCAGTCAAGTTGGCTGGCTCAAATGCCGGTATAAATAAAACGATTTAAACAAGTTTTGACTTCTAAACATTTGATCTGTTAAATTCCTGATTTGTTATACAGTACAGAGATGGCTACCTGTTAGGGCTGCTTATCTGGTAGCC